GAAGTGCGGGCTCAGGGACCCCCTTTCTCACCGAGGATCGGGCAGGTGAACGAGAACATGGGTGTGGCCACAAGCAAGCTGCTCCTTCGGGCTTCTCTCCAGGCCACTGGACAGCCAGGGGCTGTGAAACCAACCACCGGCAGCGAGTCTGTGGGAACCACAGGGCCGGGGCGCGCATCGGAGCATCGTCGGCCTCCAGGCCTGGGTCTCCACTTTAACGCATTTTGAGGGGCCTCTGGGGGGAACAGGAGGTCCCACCCTCCTGGCCTGGCCTGCGTGAGTGGCCTCTGCTCCCTGCGTCCTGGGGGCAGTGATTTAGACCAGGGGCCAGCAAGGACGCGTACTGTCCCTACAGACACTGAGGACCACCCCCACCCCGGGGTTTTTGGGTCCCCTGGGAAGCTGGTCCGGCTGCCGGTGGCACCTCTGGGCTCCAGGGCCCGGCCTGGGGGAGTGTTGGGCTGGCGCAGGCCCCAGCCGCACCTTCCGGTAGGTTCCCTCTGGGAGCCGCACCTGGGCAGCAGTTTCGGGAAGGAAAGGTTCCCAGGAGGCTCGTGAGGGGGGCTGCGGGGCGGTGCCCTTACCAGGAAGCCTGGCCTCCCCGGGCTGTGGGTTCGCCACACCCCGCTTCCTGTTGGAAGGGGCGTGCCCGGGCTCCAGGGCTTCCACTGCTGCTGAAAAGCCGGTGGGTGGTGCACAGTGAGGAGCCGCTGAGCTCGCCCGGGAGGCACCGCTCCGCCGCCATCACTGAGCCCCAGCACGTGGCCCAGAGCCAGCAATCACTGTGCCTCCCTCCTGCCCTCACCACCACCACCTGCCCTGAGGCCCCTTCCCCTCCCTGCGGAGACAGGGGGTCCAGGCTGTGGAGCCCAGGCCGGGGGAGCGCCTAGTGGCCATGTGACAGAGGGGGCCCCAGGCTGCTGTGGGGACAGTGTTCCCGAATTGCCCCACGGGGGTGAGGGGAGAGGGAGGGGAAGGACAAGAAAACCCCCAATTTCAGAAGATCCACAATACATGTTCTGATCTCTTCCCTCCCTCCTTCCCTGCCCCCCCCCCCCCCACGACACC